TCCTGCAGCTCCCCAGACCCCAGTGCCGCCGTGCCTGCTGCAGCTCCCCCAGCTCCTCTTGTGCACCCAGAAGAGGGGGGCTTTCCTGTGCTAGCCCATGCAAGCAGACATCACAGGCAGTGCCGTGAACCGGCAGCTGTGCCTGCACTGCCGCCACATCCCGGATTTTGTAAAGAGGATCTGCAAGTCCTTACCTCTGACTCCTTTCCCCAAGGTAGCCCACAAAGTACTTCTGCCTCACAAACAAGTACATCAGGCCAGCAAAGGCGGCAGGAGCTGGGTAAAGGGTAAAACACGGGATTAGAAACACCATCTGTGTCTCACTGTACGTACTGCCCCCCCCTACTGCCTGGGCTGGACTAGGAAATGGGAACCTGCAGCTTTGGGCTATGGGATGAGCACTGGAAACAAGACAGAGACCTTTGTGTGGGAAAAAGAGCACTTGCTTTGCCCTCACACCAGCTTTTCTGAAGTCTCTGTGGGTGCAATCCCGCCCACAGCTGTGCCTGCCACAGAAACCCAGTGTGGGTCACTCTGGGCTCAGGAAGGAGGGTGCCAGCTCCGGCTCTGCTTTCACCAGAAATGAAGGGCAGCTGATAGATGCATTTCTCTAGGAGCAAGTGGAGGACTCTACTAGGGTCCAATACTCATTTCTGAGCACATAAAAAAAGGCTTTTCCTCTTTCCCCACTAATTCTAGCTTTGCCCACACCTGAAGGCAAAAGTCCATCTTCTGGTCAAGAAACTCCTCTCTTGCAGAAAGAATTGCCATGGACCCTAGGAAAGTACTCATCTTAACTTTAGGACAACTCCAAATGCATTTCAGGGGATCATATTTAGAAATGCACATAAATACTCCTGGACTGTTCTCAGAGCTGGGAAGGGCTGACAGCTCTGGCAATTTAACCAAATGAGCCCATTTCCTGTCCTGAGAGTGAATAACGCAGCATCCAGTATCCAGGTACTAGACCCTCCACCCAAAACAGAGGGATCTCATCTGTAATGCCTTTATATGAAATGTCCCTGGCTTGGACTGACCTGCATGGTGTCTGGGAACACATCTGTTGGCATAAACTATGCCAGGAAGTGTGCTGCTAGTTAAACAGCATGGGTAGCTGCAGCACAGCCAGGTGAGAATGGTCCCCCCGCTGCAGGAGAACTTGGTCCCTGGAAGTGTAACCTCTGAAACCCTCGCTATCCCTTGCTGAAAGTGGTGCAAGGTTGAAGGGGGAAAAAAATGAGCATTACCTTGACTGCAGAGAAGGCCAGCACACCAAAGCACAGCCAGGAACGTTGGGTACGTGTGTCCGCAGTTCTGGCTAGAAAGGAATTTGCCAGAAAGAAATCAGAACACTGGGAAAATAGAAACCAAATCAACGTTTCATCGGCAAAGGACGGTGGGGGATGAATCTGGGCTGCGCTAATGCTGCTGCCGGTGGGCTTTTACCCCAGAGCCAGCTGCCGGGGGCTGGCTGGTGTGTCTGTACCTGGACACAAGGGCTGAACACAGGTCTGTTTCACTGTTTCCTCGGTCTTATAAAGGATGCCTTTGTCCTGCCTGATGAGGAAAACAAACCACCCCATGCACATGCCTGGCACCTGTGAAAGCTGCTTTCCTCTTCTAACCTGTTTGGTCAAGGCACGCGTATAATAGATGCTGTGTGCTTTTTTGGCTTGGAAAATCCTTGTAATTAAGTCATATTAATCAAGTTATTGCCGTTGAAAGCTGCATGAGACCAACACAAGGAAAATCACACAGCAATAGAAGTGTCTGACAGAGTTAACCTGTCTCTTTGCAGGGGAAAAGGCATGATTTCCAGCTGCCTCCTTCAGCCAGGAATTCTTTCTGAGGGGAAGCACCAAGGAAGAACCCCGGCAGAGGTTGCAGACCTGCGAAGGGCAGCATCCAGTTTCAAGCACATTGTCAGTAGTTCATGGGTAATAAAAAATATGTTCTTTTCTCTCTGGGTTGGAATTAATTTTCCCATCTGCTCTCTCTGAAGGGATGTCAAAAACAAGAGGTACAGATGTGGTCGAGAAGTGGAGGGCTGCATGTGGAGGGAGCTGCCTGGGGACCAAGGAGTTTTTGTACAAGCTCTGCCACCAACTCACTCCTCAGCAAGTCTGTGTCTCTCTGTTGGCTCTTTCGTTTTGAGCCACAGTGCCCTTGGGACACCGGCTGTGCTTGTATCACACTGCCAGCATTAGCTACTATTGGGTGAATGCACTCCCAAATGAAGGGACAAAATTCACATAAGGGCTGCAAGTCCACTATAAATGCAGCACCCGGCGTCCAGAAAGGAGCCGGGTTCACCAGCAAACACAGTGGAGAACTGCAGGTTCTGTACATCACAGTAATGCATGCAGCACTGGGACTGCAGAGCAAAGCCTTTGTCTAAGGGCGTGTGGAGCCCACCTGTGGAGCCCACCTCTAGACCCCAAAAGGGTTTGGATTAAACCCTAACAAAAAGAGATATGAACCCTGCTCTGCACCCACCGGCTCCTTAGGACTTGCCTACTCACTTGGCAGTGTAGACGCGGTCGAAGGCTGAGGACCCTGGCCGGTGGAACCCCTTCCCATTGCAGTGTTTGCTTTCATGCTCCACTTTGCTAGCAAAAAAAGCTGTTAAAAAAAAAAAAAATAAAGTATTCGATCTGAGATGTAATTTGGAGATATTGCAGAAGCTGGGCTTTGTGGGCTCAGCTCTGTTCTCATGAGCATTCAGGCTGTATGGTGGGAGAGGACGCGGGTGCGGAGGTGCAGGATGTGGCCAGAGTGCTCACTCTGTCACCGTGGTATAACCAAACCCTTAGTGCAAGGGTGCAGTGCAGTGTGACCTCAGACAACCCCACGTGTTCACATGTGACTGGCAGTAGGCTCTCCCCTCTGAGCCTTTCTTCATCCCCACATTGCACTTCTGGCAACCCACACCTCTGTCTGCTGCAGAAGTACAGCCCAGACTCCATCCTTTGTGCCCCCAGTGGGAAAAAAGCTTTCTGGACAAAGCTGTCAAAGACAATTCTCACTCTCTAATAGAGCACAAAGACAAGGGGGTCTCTTCTCTTTTAGTGATACCCATTTGCCAAACCAAGGACATCCTGTAGGGCTGGTTCATTTTCCAGAAAGACCCACTGAAAACCTGGTCCTGATGGCTGGTCGCTGTGTATCCGTATTGTGTGCATACTCCTTTTAAGCAACAGTGTTGTGTCAGGGCATTAGCAAAAATGCAGCACCTCAAGATAATGTATCACGTGCTTGACAAACATATTTTATCTGATGACACTAAACCAGAGACCATCAATCATGTGTCTAAATGCACTAGACAGAGCTTTGACAGGCTACAAGGTGCAAGCTTTGTACTGTGCATCCAATCTCAGTGTACCCAAATCACTTGATGGTTTAGAATATTAGCCAAGGATACACATAAAAGATAACCCATCAGGAAAGACATTTTTATAACAATAGAAGTGTAACTTGATAAGCTGTGGGATTTCATCCATGGAATCTGAAGAGTTACCTCTTTTTTCCCCTCACTGATGCTATCAGTAGGTCTTTTGTACTTTCATTGCCTTCACTAAAATCTGCTGAGTTTTTTGCCTTCCAGTACTGAGTGATTCCCTTGGGTATACACAGGCTTTCTCCAGAAAAACCCGCAGTGCTTTAGAGCCAGTGTCTCCACTCTGAGCCAGGCTGCAGACCCTCCCACTGCCACCGGAACGGTGCACTGGCCAGCTCCCGAAGGACCTGGCTCTGGGGGACCTGGAGCAGACAGCACAACCACCAAGAGCTCCTGGCATCTCCATCTGCATGCCACCCCAGCCTTTGGGCTTTTATCACTCTCTACAATTACCTAAAAGGAGGTTGTAGTGAGGTGGGTGCTGGCCTCTTCTCTAAAGTAACAAGTGATAGGACAAGAGGAAATGGCCTCAAGTTGCACCAGGGGAGGTTTAGGCTAGACATTAGAAAAAATTTCTTCACTGAAAGAGTGATCAGGCATTGGAACAGGCTGCCCAGGGAGTGGTGGAGTCACCATCCCTGGAGGTGTTCAAGAAATGTGTAGATGTGGTGCTTAGGGACATGGTTTAGTGAGTTAGGTGGTGTTGGGTTGGACTTGATGATCCTTGAGGTCTTTTCCAACCTTAATGATTCTATGATATTCTATGATTCTATGGGGTCATTAACCTGCCTATGGAGTCTAAGAGGACTAGGTTGGACAGAAATTTTTTGTACAGTGCAAAGTTGCTGCGATGGGGATCCACTTTCTGCAGGTCTGGGACTGCTTGGGCTCACTGAGACATGTAGCATACCTTAGCCCTTCCTTTTAGCACGTATGTGAAATCACTAGAAGATGCCTCAGCTTCAGAGAAAAGCCAAGAGAAAGCTATATATGTCTCCCCTATATATATCTCCCTCCCTGCTGCTGCAGGTGCTGCCACTTCCCAAATGCCAGCATACCGCTGCAGAGAGGCTCTGTGATGCTGAGAGCCATCAGGCTGAACACAGACATGGCCAACATGATGGTGGCCACTGAGGACAAGAACTTGGAGATGCCAGTGGTGACACTCCTGGTGCACAGTCTCTGGGATCAGTGGTGGGCAGGCATGGGGGTGTCAGGTCTCCTGGGAAGGATCTGGCTGTGGAGGTCCAGGCAGCTGTCCTGGAAGGTCTTGCCGTCTCCAAGGTAGGGTTATCACGTACACCCACACCATGGATGAGGAGCAGGCTTTGTCTCACCTCACTTCAGAGACATTCGTAAGTGTTGGGGAGATGGATGTTTTCCTTCTGTAAACAGTGGGTGACAGAGGGAAACAGAGGAAAGGCACATCCAGAGGCCAGTCCATCCCTCAGAGAGCTACTGGAATGAGAGGAACCACCCCACTGAAGTGCTGGTCTTTCTCCATTGACTCAAGAAAGAGCTTAGACAACCACCTCACACAAATTGTCCGCCTCTTGGTCAGAGAAAGTGCCTGGGTCAAGCACCTCCAACCCACGGCAGCAGCTGTATTTCCTCAGGACCATGCGGACCCCCAGGGTGAGGGCAGTGAATTGGAAGGGAATACAACATTTCACCACCACATGGAGAAGCAGAGCCTCCTACTTTAAGTGAGCTTTTCACCCTGGAATTTTCTCCCTAGTTCTGTGGCTCCTTACCCTGTCAAACTCACAAGCTCATTAGACTCTCAAAATCTCCCCAGAAGGCAACCCAAGAGGTGTGTCCCGGCTGCCTGAAGTTCAGCCAGGCTGAAGGTCTGCAGAGGACCAGAGCAGAGCTGACAGATCACATCCAGGGGTGGAACTCGTTCTGGGTTTACACTCACACCTCAGTGACATTGGGCTCCTGCTAACCTGGCTTCGGGGAAATGGGAGACTAGAGCATGCAGCAGCTTGCAACACCATGGTTATATTTCCTGCTCTTTACTCTGAACCTCAGGGCAAGAGGGTGGTTTCACAAGCCAGCATGACATGAGTGAGCAGAGCAAGTCTGGAGCTCAGCTGCACCAGGAGACAATGCCTGAGGCTTCAGGGCTGAACAGGCTGACCTGAGCCTGAACCACTGCAGTCCCACTCTGGCCAAATTAATGTACAAGAGTTCAGTTCAAGACTGGTTGTTTCACAAGTTCATGCCAACAGAAACCATGCATGCAAACAAGTAGGTTGCCCCTTTTTTCTGTTGCCTTCACTTTGCTTCCCCCATCCTGATCTGATAAGTGATGATCACTGATTTGTCTTGAAAGCTGATAAATTGCAACATTTCTCTGATGCAAGAGCAAAATCTAGAGCTACATGTGTGACTCAGCAGCATCCAGCCACACGCATCACTGTAGGATATGGAGATTCCCACCATTGAACAAGGTGACAGAAAATGGACATCAGACTGGGGCAACACCACAGCCCACCTCCAGCTTTGGGAATACCAACATTCACCCGAACTGTTTTCTAATCCTGCACCAGATGCAGAAAAGCTTATAAACCCATATTTACATGGTACTGGCTTCATGTTCTTAAAGTATGTCGAAACTAAAACAGTCTGCATCTCTTTTTTGCTCTCTGGCAGCCAGGCTTATGCTGAGGCTCCCAACACTTCCCCTCTGCAGCAGCCCAAGAATAGCCCATTTCCTAGGACCGAACATGGGATTTGTGCTCAGTGGGAATCTCCCATTTGTACCAAGAAGCCTTCGCAGAAGATTTCTAGCACTTTAAGCAGCCCCCCATCCCACAGCCCACTGCTGACTCTCCTTGAACCTGGGTGATCTCAGTGCAGCTGGGGCAAAGCACAGTCCCTTCTTCTGTATTCTGGGCAGAATTTCCTGATAAAATGATTAAGTATTTGTAAGAGGCGATGTTCAAGTTAAAACCAGATTTGCACAAGAGAGAAACTTGTTGTTCTATTTAAAAAAATTCTGAAGAACAGTAGGGACTATAGAGATCTGAATAAAAGCTAAAAAAAGGAAACTTCTCCATTGCAGGAAATGTGCAGTGTTCTTGGGACTGCAGTCAATTGAAGTTAGTTGAACTGTAGGACCTGGAGATGCAAGAAAGCAGGAGGGCTGCCTGCCTACAATAACCCCAACATATTCCTCTGATGATAAGTTGGTCCAGTTTTGCCCCCTCTGCCCAAGTCTGTGCAGAGGTCTGACCCATTGCAGCTCACCAGGGCCCTGGCCCCTGCCCACGGTGGCAGGGCTCTGGCTGAAGAGCTGCCCACATTAGAGGCTTTAGCCAGGAAAGGAGGTCCCAGTCATCAAATGTGAATGCATATTGTCACAGGGAACCCCACCATATTATTCCTTTCATTAGCTGACATATGTACAGCAAACTCCCTCTAGAATATCACAAGAGTAGGTTCATGCGACTGCCAAGATACTCCAACAACAGCATGCAAAATTATATGCTCTAGAAGATAATTTCTAAAGCCAAAATCATGCCTAAGCACACACACACACACACACACACACTTATAACCAGAGATTATCTATCCAAGGATCAGATCAGCATACGTAATCCTGAATTTTTCTCTGTTCTATTTTAGCCCTTAATAAATGCTTATTTTTGTCTTACCATTCTGGACAACACTTATCAAGGTGACGATGGCGAGCAGGACAACACTCCCCAGCGTTTCCTGGTCCATTTTGCCAGTGGGTTGACAGGGTGGATGATGCAGCCTCGGTGGCAGCTCAGCCCTGCAAGCACAAAAGGAGGAAGTGAAGGTCTTTCTTATCTTGAACAGTGAAACACTTCCTATGGCTTCACAGGAGAGTAGCAGCACCCTGTGCCCGGGTGCCTGTCAGAGCAACACAGTCACAGGCTCGCTCACTTGCGCATCGTATACAGATGAAGCCCACAGAAACAAGAGATAATATAGGTGTGATCTGAGAGGATACGCAATGTGGAAAGATATCTACTGCCCTTCCTGCACAGGAACAAAATTATAACCCTGTTATCTAAAGTACATGTGAGCATTTGACTAGCTGTGTAGAACATCTGAAAGGCCAGAAGATACCAGCCAGGCTCTCTTCATGTCATTGCCTGCAAGTGCCTGATCACCCCGCAAGTAGCTGGGAGGAGAAATAGTGTTGGTGAGTCTCAATAACACTGCTGCTCTCAGGCATGTGCCCTTCCTGGTCACACCTTCCTCAGCCTCACCAGAGAGGAGACCCCACATCTCCAGGTCACGAGGAAAAGCTCCAGATCCATCTGGCATATTTGGATGGGCAGCACACAAATGCTGTAAGCATTGCAGGTGGGCACAGATATGTGTCTTTCATTACCAGGGATGGGTCCTGCATCCTTCCCCCTCTACAAGTAACCCCCTTGGAAGACAGTGATGGCTGCCAGCACTGAACATACTACAGGCTCAGACTTCGCAGATGTACCCCAATTTTAGTACTCCAAGCCCAGTATGGCTGAATACAATTGCTGCAGTACATTCATGCCTTGGCTTCAACCCTGTGACAGAGATGACAGGAAAGCACAGGCTGCAGTGTTGGCTGGCTGCAGAAAGTCCCACAGCTGCTGTCAGATTGCTGGAAAGCATCCTCATCCAAAGCGAACATCACTCCCTGCCCCTAACTACTCTGTCCCCTTTCATCCACACTCTGATGGGGAAAAGCCTTATGAAAAATGCTTACCTGTATTAGGGATTTAAGATTAATAAAAGTATTACTTCTGCGCCATCTCTCTGTCTGTCTACTCCACCATGTGCTACCCAGAAGGTCTGAGTGCCGTCTAGCATCCAAACCATAGCCAGATGACTGGTTACCTTTCTCTGCATGGGACACAGGCTGGTAGGAGATCCCAGCAGGAGCCAAGCAGCAAATTCCATCTTGTTCAATGGGGACACATTTACCTACAATGGTGTTTTTATCCAGTCTCTCTCTCATGCAAATTATTATTATCTGTACTATTAGATATGGAAAACTCTCAGGTACTTTGGGTACAAGCAAAGAGGCAGAAACACACTAGCTGACGGGGAGGTGATTAACATTGTGGGTTGTGACCTACTGTTAACTTAATAGGAAAAGACTGTCTTTCTTGGACATCTTCCCTACAGTCCACACAGACACAACTGTGTGAGAAGCGAGGCCATACATTTTTTTCACTATGAGGGTGGTGAGGCACTAGAACAGGTTGCCCAGGGAAGCTGTGGATGCCCCATCCCTGGAGGTGTTCAAGACCAGGCTGGATGAGGCTTTGGACAACCTGGTCTAGTGGAGGGTGTCCCTGCCCATGGGCAGGGGGGTTGGAACTTGATGATCTTTAAGGTCCTTTCCAACCCAAACCATTCTGTGATTCTGTGATTCTATGAAATAGTATCTAAGCTTAGATTTGGCCTGTGATATTTTCTCCAGATTTTTAACTCTTGTAAAATTTGCTTTAGGAAAAAAAATAAACCCAAGAACAAAAAGGAGAAGCATAGTAGCACTTTGAGAATGCTTTTATTTGGACGGATGTTTTCTTTTTCCCCACAAAGTGGTCTTTTCTTACTTGAGCATCATTATGTTTTGTGGTCTACTGAGCACAGGATCATAGATGGTAAGTATGGTATTTAATGCTAAGCTTATACTAATCTTCCCATCACCTAAAAGCAGTTATGGAATTAAGTTAAAAGAATATTGTCCAAGCAGAGACCAATGCTGTGACTGTGAAGAAAGGATCGGTGCACGGACACGGGCAGGCAGGAGGGAGCTGCTGACAGGAGAGGGTGAAGGAGACAGCACAGGTCCTCAGGGCATCTGCAGCAGGACAACTCCCAGCCGTCCTCCAACAGCACCCATTGATCCTTCTCTTCCTTCTGCCTGTTTTACACCGGTGTAAACCTACCAGGCAGCTTGCAGCTTGCTTTTGATTTACAAGGAGCACTAAAAGCAGATGAGACCACCCTGAGACAGTAAGCCTCCAACTTGCCACGGAAATGCACACTCTTCTTTACTTTCAAAGGCTTCCAAAGGTGGATTTAATTTGGCAGGAGCCTCCTATTAAAGGCAGTTGGAATCAGGCTGCTAAGGTTTGAAATAGCCATAATACAAAAAATAACACAGGCTTTCCTGCCGCTCCGCACCTCTCACCACATCCTCATCCCTACTTTGCTCTTCTGCTCTGCCCCTTCTGATTCTTGGATTCTTGTCTGTCCCCTGACACTGCTTGGCACCGCAGGATGCACCAGTGCTTCTCTGGAAACCCAGCCCGGCACTTCCTCTTGCAGAGGCTTGCTCTAAAGTCAACCCTCCCATGCGTGGAGGGAAACAGAGCTTCACGAAAAATGCATAAATTTTGTAAATTCTGTAAATTCTCTTAAAGAAGATCAGGAAAAGCTGTACATTACTGCCTTGGGTTGGCAATAAAACACTTGCATAAGTATGGGAGCAAAATCTTTAAACTCACACCAACATGCAAACACTTTTTTTTTTTTTTTTTTTTTTTTTTTAAGTGCAACATCACTCTGAGGGCTCTGCTTAAGGAAAGGCAGAGGAAATCAAGAAGGCATGAGAGACACTGAAGAAGTCCCATTCCTTTACCAAGGCAGAGCAACACTGTTGCAAATATAGTGGGACAGAGCAGAAACACCGGGGCGGGGGGGCGGGGAGTATATTATCTTTTTATACCCTTTGGTGCTGGAATAGCTTGCAGGACAGAAGGAGGTTCTGGCAATTTTTTTTGCAATTGGGGGAATTGCCTTGGCAAGAGAGGGCTAAGGTGGAGCCAAACTGACTCTGCAAACAGCTTCTGCCATATCTACACATTAAATTGTTCCCTCTCCCTGAAACCTAAACATCTTGCCTCCCATTCTTTTGCAGGATACACACAGGATCACTGTCTGGGTCAGGCAAAGTCCGCCTGAGAGAAAGATCAGTGCAAAACACATCCATCATAGCCTACCTGGCCATTTGAAATAGGGGATTTTCTCAAGTAAGAAAAAAAAAAGGTGGAAAGGTGCCTGCATCTGCTGTAGCCCCCAGTTGCAGTCATGCTCTCCAGGCAGAGATAATTCTGCACTTCAGCAGCTGCTGTCAGACCCTAGCCCTTCTGCTTGCTGCATTGCTATTTGACATCCACATCTTCCTGTCTGAGGAAGATAACCTTGACACAGTGAGCCATGAAGCTCATGAAAATGTGCAAAGCCAGCAAGCTTTTCCAGTTGCACTGCAAGGCTGCCCACACATTAATCTCCTCCTCTGGAAATTTTGAACAGACAGTCAAAATAATCCTTTCGTAGAATTGCTTTCATACTGAAGAGGAAAGGACTGGGAACACAGATGTATAAATATCTTTTGGGATGTTCATCTCTCCTCTCATGTGTTCTGCTCAGGATTCAGCTCCAAGGACTCCAATGAAAGTGTGTGTCCTAATAAAATAAAAGCTGCTCCTGTGAAGTTCCTATTTATAATTGTCAGACGACACACAGCTGTCGTGCTTTCTCATAAACGCAATAGGACACAAGCTCCGTGGACTGGTTGGTAAATATTAGCACTGTGCTTTGCAAACTTAAAGCACCACAGAACCACCAAATATATAGTACACACACCTACGTGTGTGTGACAACCTGCCGTCACATCAGTCTGCTTCAGTATCGCAGAATGCTCTCGCCAAAGGAGAGCATGAACAGAGCTGCAAATGTGAAGTGCAACTTGAAGAAAAGGGCAACGCTACTGTTTTTTAAATGCCATTTTCATTTTGCACCATCTCCAGACTCTGGGATTTTTGGTGTGAATAAGTGACAGTGAAACACAGCCCTCAAGGTCACTGTGATGGCTGTGAAACCAAGGGTACTGTCCCCTCCTTGGCCAACCAACCTGGGCACTGCAGGTAAATCATAGTGTGGCTAAGATAATGAAACTGTAGGAGTAATCAGAGTGCTGCCTTGAAAAACCTCCCTGTGCTCCAAAGAAGAAGCTTCTCAGCAGCTGTTGTGACAACATGTGTTGGCATTGTGGTGGCCCCCAGACAGCCCCACAACCAGCCACCCTATCACAGTAGGAAATTCACAGTCACAGAATGGTGGAAGTGTGAAGGAACCTCCGGAAGTCACCTGGTCCACTCCGTGTGCTCAAGCAGGACCACCTGGAGCAGGCTGCCCAGGATCATGTCCAGACAACTTTTGAACATCTCCAAAGATGGAGACTCAACCACCTCCCTGGGCAACCTGTGCCAGTGCTCAGCCACTGTCACAGTGGAAAAGTGTTTCCCGATGTCCAAACAGAACCTCCTGTGCTTCAGTGTGTGCCCATTGCCTCTGGTCCTGCGTCACTGAGAAGAGCCTGGCTCCATCCTCTTTGCACCCTCCCTGCAGGTATTTATACAGCATTGATGAGATTCCCCTGGGCCTTCTCTTCTCCAGGCTGAACAGCCCCAGCTCTCTCAGCCTTTCCTCATAGAAGAGATGCTCCAGTCCCTAATCATCTCTGTGGAGGGACCCTCTCCATTATGTCCATGTATCTTTTGTACTGGGAAGCCACAACCGGACTCAGCACTCCAGGTGTGGCCTCACCAGTGCTGAATAGAGGGGAAGGATCACCTCCCTCGACCTGATGGCAACACTTTTCCTAATGCAGCCCAGGATACCATTCACCTTCTTTGCAGGAAGGGCACATTGCTGGCTCATGTTCAACTTGGTGTCCACCAGGAACCCCAAGTCCCTTTTGGTCATTCTGCTTTACAGCTGGGTGGCCCCCAGCATATACTGGTGG